TTCCGTCGCAAGGAGCACATCTCGTATGCACCCCGAATTTTTCGCAGACCCTGGGACCTTGAACCCGAACCGCCCATCGTGGCTGCCAGAGTTCAGAGCTTAGGAGTCCCTTTTTAGATCGTGGCCAGAGTTTCATCCGCCGCGAGTAGCCAGCCGTAGGCTCGTCTTAATCATTTTCAAGCATTAACGAACGAGCTTTGACGTATCCATGGTAACAACCGCGATAACAGATATCGATCCCCCAGTTCGGGTCACCTTCCATCACTCTAGGAACGATAAATTAATAGCGGGAAAATTTCGGGCCGCGTTCGGCGCCGCCACGGACTGCCTACAATGCATCCGCGGCTGATACACAGCCGGCAGGCAACTAGAGCGGGATAATTTTATTTCCGGAAATTACCCGTGACCAATGAGTNCATGCTTAACGCTAATGTTGTACTTACAGTTACTCACAAAATCGAGCGTACTCCTTTTAAGCGCAATAACTTTTTTTAAACTGGGCTAAGTGGCTTGAATTGTTTTTAGATGATAGAGGGACTAGTCTACTGGACGATGACTAAAATGCCTTCTTTTAATTTTGCTATTACTTGGGATGGCAAGAAAGATACAAAAATTCTCGTTTTTAACTTTTTTTATCCGAGCCTATGACAAAAATTTAAAAAATGCCTTTCGTAGATCTTGGTAACTTATATGCGTGCTGAAAATTTGATCGAAATCGGTTAATCCAGAGTCGAGCTACAGGCGTTGAAATATTTAAAATCATGATAAAACAGCAATTTTTGCCATTTTCAATTTGTTGTCACTCAAATTTTCAACATGCATACAAGTTGCCGGAATCTACGACAAGCATTTTTTAAATTTCCGTTATAGGCGGATAAAAAAGTTAAAAAACGAGAGTTTTTGTATCTTTTTTTGTCATTCCAAATAATAGCAAAATTTAAAAAGAAAAACATTTTGATCATTTTCTAGTAGACTGCTCCCATTATCATCTAAAAAAAAATTTAAGCACTTAGTCCAGTTCTAAAAAAGCTATCGCGTTTTAAAAGGAGTACGCTCAATTTTGTGAGTATCTGTATTTCAAATGAATGTTTATTTTCATGCAAATATAAGTTTCTTTTTCATGCAAATGAACGCATAAACGATGACTCGAACTAATTTCATTAGCCTTCGTTTCATTAGCCATGTTCTTTGCTCCGTTGCGTGAAATTGCTGACATTAATTACCAAGTAATATCAGCAATTGGATAGCAAAGACCGAATCCGTTCGGCTCAGCATTTCGAAGACGTCACCTAGTCAGCCAGATGACTAATTTCAATTGGAGTTTGCACAATAGGATACAATAAAAGGATTGATACAACTAGAAGCCACTCTACTCCCGATGACTAATTTCAATTGGAAATTCTGCTATTGGATGCAATAAAAAGACCGATAGAGATAGAGTATCATTAAAAATAGGTTTTCGAAAATCAATAAACAATTGCCTAACCATACCCAAACAATGCCAACTACGTTAACACCGCGATTCCGTCGCAAGGAGCACATCTCGTATGCACCCCGAATTTTTCGCAGACCCTGGGACCTTGAACCCGAACCGCCCATCGTGGCTGCCAGAGTTCAGAGCTTAGGAGTCCCTTTTTAGATCGTGGCCAGAGTTTCATCCGCCGCGAGTAGCCAGCCGTAGGCTCGTCTTAATCATTTTCAAGCATTAACGAACGAGCTTTGACGTATCCATGGTAACAACCGCGATAACAGATATCGATCCCCCAGTTCGGGTCACCTTCCATCACTCTAGGAACGATAAATTAATAGCGGGAAAATTTCGGGCCGCGTTCGGCGCCGCCACGGACTGCCTACAATGCATCCGCGGCTGATACACAGCCGGCAGGCAACTAGAGCGGGATAATTTTATTTCCGGAAATTACCCGTGACCAATGAGTTATCAGTTCGCCCGTTAAACCGGGCCGCCGACGCAGCTTGCGTCTCGATGCTTGCGGCTGGTCGGCCGACCCGCGTCCCTTTAACGGCGCGCGATTCAATCATCAGTCTTTCATTACGTTCCAATTAACCATTCGGAAGCCCGTGCGGGAATCAAGCAGCCTTTTATTTCGCGATTTCAGTATCCCGGGTGTTTTCAATGTTTCGCCGCCCGCAGATGTAACGCGGCTGTTCGCATAACTGTCTTTTGTGTTTGCGCGCCGTTATTTGCATTTGCAGAGCAAACTCGAGGAAATGGTAAAATCGCGAGAATAAAGCGCAGGGAAATCGAGATCGTAGCTTTAAGTTGGTAGGAAATGGACTGGTTTATTAGATAATGTAATACGTGTATCATATTATGTAATGGTTTAACGGGGAAAAGCGTTATCGCATTTCTCGAAAAATGCGAAATCTCGTTGGGCCAAGTTCCGCGAAATGTGATTCGCTTTTATACTGGTAAGATCCATTTCCGTTCGGATACTTATCAAATAAAGGTTTCTGCCTCCGTGTTTCCGGACGGATTTTCTGATAAGAAAACTTCTACAAGACGGTTATTAGGAGTAACGTACACGCCTCCAACTCCCACAGCGAAAATTCAACTTCTTCCGCGGCTAATTACTACCGACATTGACGTACCTTGTTATCATCTTCACCGTAACATCTCGCAGTCAATTTATTTTCAGATTACTCACGAAGTTATAATTGCCGGGCAACTTTTTCTAAAGCGGCCACCACGGTGTCCTCACCGCTCCCCCTCGTTGATAGTTACCTATGGTGATAGAGGGTTCCACGAAGGCCGACCGGAACTCCGACGTTCGACAACTTGCTGAGAATCGAACCGACCAAGTTCCGCGGCCGTCGGCTTGTGAAAAAGTTAATGACTGTCCTGCGATACTATGAGAATCGTAAACAATTAGCTTGCAACATTGTATACGTCCGTAACATTTTTTAAACAAACGTTACATTGCGAAAGACGCGGTTTTACCTTTGCTTTAGGTGTCCAGGGTGCATGGGGGCGCTGAAAACGTCTTCAGTTAATTTTTGAAATAGCATATTTTCATTTTGTCGTTGTTCAGCAAGGCATTGGTTGTCTCAGAATGGAACCGTTTTTCAGAATTTTGAAAAATACAGAATTGGCATCAAGTTGAAGATGAAAGTCACGTTTTGGGGAAAGGCGTCGACTTTCGTCGTTTGTAATTAAAAAATGGAAACTTGAAGTTAGAAGAAAGATTGTTACGAGATGTGGAATCTTGTTGGGAAAACCTATGCAAAATTTGGTGAAAATTGATCGAACGTAGCAAAAGTTTTCAAAGCCTCCGTCGAAACAAACGGGCATTTTTAGAAAAATCTGATAAATGCCGCTCAGAGTTAACGTAACTTCCTAAACTTCTGTAATTTTCACGTTTAACTTGTTTCGCGATGTTTTCAAAACGCCATTCTGCGAAACCAGGTAAAGACAAAATATACTTCTATTACATTCTCTTTCTTTTCATATTTTTTTCTGGGGGGCCAGCATTTAATATCATCCATCTCCGAGCGGCAATTCATCACGCGTTCGGGGAACGCGTCGCGATTTCAAATGTTATTAGTGTTCGACGGATATTCAATCATTTAGAAGCGACAGTGTGAGCACAGAATTCTTCGGCAAACACATTCTCTATTTATCCGCGGCGGAGTGGATGGCATCTGTCACTCCGGAGCAAAGACGATTCCGCGATGCGCGAGAAAAGATGACGATCTATGAAAACGTTTCCCTCAAAATTGATCCCAGTCGAGGTAGACGAATATTCTCGACAGCGTCTCTCCTACATTCCAGGAAGCAATATGTACCCACTGCGTACCGTGTCTCATTCGGGCCCATTCGAACGGGAAAAATTCGCAGAGGACTCCGAACGAAATCCTCTATTCCGGGAACGTTGGAAATTGAAAATTTATTGCAGCCGTATGGCGTCACGCTACGCTCTTCATTTGATTTCGCTTCGAACTCGGAAACATATGCATATTTAAAAATGTAATTTACACATTTATAAAACACGAGTTGGTCTGTATATTGACAAAAATGAATAATATCTTAATTTTATTTTTACCATAAAGTAAAACATTTTTCCCATTTCTCATTATATCATTCCCATTATATATTACATTATATATTCCCATTTCATCGTATTATGTTCCATATGAAATATAATAACAAGTCTGAACACGACAAACATCAATAATATCTTTATTATATCAGCACGAAAAGTTTTTCAGTCAACGAAAAAAACTTTTCCGCTATTTTATTGCTGTCTTTTTCGGCATATTCGCATAAGAGATATAATAACGAAACTATAGATTTTCATGCATTTATATCACATGCAAATTTATAGAAATTGAAGCAGCCTGCATACTAACAAACATTGTTTATCAGCACAAGAAATCTTTCAGTCAGCAAGAGAAGCTGTTCTACCATTCTTTTTTCACTGGCTCTTTTGGCAGATAGCCTGCAATTTTCTTGCTATCGGCAAGATCGTTGTTGTTTCCTCTGATCGAGTTGTTGACAGAGTTCGCTTACCTTTAATCAGGGCTAAGGTCTTTTTTCGCTGCGGCATCGGCGTCTGCTTTAGACTGTTCTTGACCGACTGGCACGCGATCACGTTCGCCAACCATCATATGGTATATCACGCGGAACATCACGAACCGCGGCCAATTCTGAAGATCATCGTAGAACCTGCAAGCCAAGCTTTTATTCCGTCGACCGGCCCCGCTGAAATTGAATCCATGGCAAGAATACCGGAACGACGTTGCCCCAAGCGCTGATGAGAAAAAAATCTGTCCCCCAGGAAATCTTCGAGACAAAACCGCACCACGCACGCCTTCTAATACCGTATCAAAATCGCATTCCCTCGGAAGTCTCCCGTAAACTCGCGCTCGTTTCGCGGAACTACGCTTGTCGCGATTTTCAAACGGATTTGGAATCAACCTGCGAATAAACAGACTGTAGTTCGCGCGCAAAAATATTCACTATAACGGAAGAATATTAAACATAACATGTTGCAACATTTGTCTATATTGTTGAATCATGCACGAGTACATTGCCATACATTTTTTAACTGTGTAGCTCATTTAGTTTTCGTGTAATAAATTCTTAAAGATTAATTTAAGGTGACACGATGGATCGGTGCCTCTAAGAATGAATGTTGATGATTTTCCTTACGATAACTAATTAACATATCTTTATGAAGCTCTGCAGATTTGTTTGCACATGCGTAAGCTACATTCACGAATTTCGATCCATTGTTAGCATTGAAAATGTGAATAGTCGGTGTTAGTCACCGAAGGAACATACCGGTGTAACATCTCTTTTCGAACGAATCGATGTTAAATTGATGTTCCATGCTTTGCGCATGTTAAAATACGATAAATAAATTAATAAATTGTGTAATTATGATCGAAAGGAATTATGAAATAACAGCAGAAATTTGTATTTCGTTCCATTGCACCGTTTCAAAGATTTAATGTGTGAAAACGTGAATTGGGACGAGCATCTCGTATTCATTTATTATTGATATTTCGCCGGCGGAATACGTCAAATGTAATTTCACGAAGTTTATAATCTTTTTAGGTATACGCGAGCGAAATATTTTCAAATTTATGCGCAATGCATGCACTCTGCTGACGTCACCCCGTGCGTTCCACGTGAAATAAATTAAGCTATGGTAAATGTTAATGTCCACGCGCAATATAATTAATTCCAAACTAAAGAATTCCACGTGCGCGTACATCTCAATTACAATTTCGATGTGAAACTGTACCTTAAATTAAATCTCGAACCTAAAGTCGAGATTTTCGGGACGCTGTACTCAGTTTAGAACTGCGAATTCCTATAACATCGCGATGTTTCAAGAATCAAACGTCGCCGAGGTGATGAAACAACGTTCTAATAAAGTTCAGCAACTCTTATTTTCGCGAGACCGTTTCATTGTCTGCGACAATGTTACTCACGAACCGGTCGGACACCATCATTTTTAAAATTGAAAGTGCTTCTCTGGCTGCGCCGTGGAAACTGTTCGTTCCGGACGTAAAACAAACATTTGTCAGTCTTTCCCAAGTCCTTATTCGCCGGTCTCGAGACAAATAACATGGACGCTGGCGGCAGATTTTCGTCTCGCAATTCGCATTTCTTCTTGCGGGCGGCGAGCATCTCCGAAATCAGGTAATAAAGAAACTCGACGAAACTCAAGACTGAGCCGCCCAGACAGAGGCCGAAGATTCCGCCAAAAGAAGCTGAAATTGCAGTTCGATTCCTTAGAGCTGTATCGCACGCTATCGTTGCACTAGCCACCGTTTCCATTTTCAAAAATTACCACGTTTATCGAACTTAGCGAAAAAGTCTCGACGCATAAGCGATCGTTGGGATTTCTTTTTCAAAAGGAAAGTATTAAGTATCGTAATTCTAAACTTTGCACGATAATTAAGTAATATTCGAAATATATACCTAAATTTGTTCAAGCGATAACAATAATTTTTATGAGAACTACAGCGGTGACAGTGCGAACGTCTGAAATTTATTGCTAACGAACATGATTCTAATTGTAATTATTTAACACGAAAATATTTCATTTAAATGAATTTTGCCATGATATTGATAGTATTGTCGATAATACTGTAATGTCAATAGGACATTTTCGAAAAATGTTCTTATACATAATTTTTTAATTGACGCGCATTTTACCGATTCTTAAATATAGAAATAACTTTTAGAAATTATGTAAATAGTGGAATCAATCTTTTCGAGTGTAATCTTCTTTGGCTGTCAGGTCGGAAGCCGTTTCTGCTGTCGAAGTACGAGAGAAAGTTTCTGGCAGAGCTGCTGCGGAACATTTCCAGCTCGATATTTTACTTTATTTTAAATGTTCTCTCTTATTAGAGAGGTTTTACGGTGCGTCAAAAGAACTAGCGCGGACGTGTCGGACATGTTTTGAGGAAGTTCTCCTTACCGAGTAGACTATCCCAGCCAAGGATGGTTTCCTTGCGGTACTCTAGATACGAGCCATCCCGGAAATACACGTAGAGGAACGAGGTAGTATTTACATTCAAACCTTGCCTGTAAAGAACCACTCGTGAAATTCCTTGTTCGTGAATAGGTGCAAAAGGAGCTTTTGCTCGTATATGGCCTTTCACAGTACTCCATAATAAGAAACATCAACGAGAATACCCGTTTTCACGTTAATGCATTCTATTGCACTCAAATGGTTGCAAGTGCGAATACAAAATTTCGTAACAAGTAACCGGGACACTACGTCGCACTGTTGCTTATTTTATTTGCAGAAAATGTTTCATTCCTAATTCAAAGGAAATCGAGAATTCCGATATCACGATTATTGATCCACAAGATATTACAGAATGTTTTCATACACTGTATCCATAATTATGTTAACACCCGAAAAGGGGTAATTCCTGAGGTCATTTGAAGTAACTTTTTCCGTAACGAAAATGCACGACTGGTGGTAAGCCCAATTCCTCTCGTTGGCTCGATCACCTAGCGCGCCAGCCAAGCTCGCCTCTGATTGGTCAGTGTTTTTCGTTAATAACTCGTAAACAAAGCCGCGGATTGCATTTTCGCTAAGGAAAAAGTTACTTCATACGACCTCAGGAATCACGATTTTCCAGGTGTTGACATAATTATGGATACAGTGTATGAAAACATTCTGTAATATCTTGTAGATCGATAATCGTGATATCGGAATTCTCGATTAAAAAATATATTTCTAATTAGAGAAATTAGATGATACTCACGTAAGCTCGGTGTCATAATCTAATTCGTTTAATCGAATCGATTCGCTGACTACCTCGAACGTCTCGTCGTTGCACTGCGGAAGGCAATTACAATCGCTGTCCCTGTGGGACAGCTGCTGCTCCGACATAGTGTCTGTTTATCGTGTCAAGAAAAGCAATTTACATATTATCCAATAGAAAGAGTGGAATCCAACTCAAATCTCGTTTTTACGAAACTCGGGATGTGAAATTCACGATGTGTAGCTTATTAAAATTGCAGGAATGTATTAGTGCTCATTGTTACTTACTCCTATGGGTCAAGATGCAATCCACATCGGTTAAATAACATGTCCGAATTTCTGGATCTAGTAACAAGCAAGATCGATATTTTTTAACTAAAAAGAAGACTTCGAAAATGTAGGAAATTATTGTGCACTGCATTAACGAATCACTTACGGCTGTCTGGGAAGAAAAACGGCAAACATCCGCAGGGTTTGTAAGCATTTTTCAGGGTGCACTCTGAGATGCATGTCTGGTAACTGTACTTCCGTTCCCCGGGACTCTGAACATCACCAAATGTTTGGTGAATTGTGGCGATCAAAAAATAATTTTCACATTTTACAGCGTTACAGTTAATAACGTAAAATACATGCATTTTCCAAATATCTACCTACAATCATTCTTAAACAAATATTGTCTAGGAATAGAATACATGTAATATATTAATGTTATAAATTCTCTCGAATCGACGCTCAGGTTGTATACAAAAACGGACAACTTGAGAAGAAGAGATACAATTATTCGAGCCTTGCGGCTCGTTTTTATAGTTACCGATTGTCAACAATTATAAAAACGAGCTTCAAGGCTCGAATAATCGTATCTCCTCTTTCCAAATTGTCCAGTTTTGTGTACAATCTGAGCGTTAATTAAAGAAAATTATACTATACCTACCGAGGTCTAAAACTGATTGATATACATATGTATATTGCTTTACAGGAATGACAAGACCGAATTTATTCAAATCTTCTATCAATTTTGCTATAGCGTGTGCCTGAATTGAAAACTTTATTCAATCATTTCGTACAAGAGATTTTTCATAATTTCAATAATTTTAAAATAAATTACAAAATATGATGTATCACACAGATGAATCGAACGACTTCGTTCACGAATTTTTAATGATATTAAAAAGCACTTAAATAGCTACAAGTTCAGTTCATTTTAAAAATTACTAATAGTAACGTAATGTAGTAATGTAATAGTAATAAAAAAAAGTAATGCATGGATAAATGATTGAACATATTGTTCGCTTTAATAGATAGACTAGCATACTTCGCCGTCGAACAAACACATCCTTTTGTCCAACGGTATGTTGCGCATGTTGTCCGAGCTGCTCACTTTCGTCCCGGAAAGCGTCAACGTCATTACGTGGCCCGGAACCAGGGATGAGGTTTGCGCCCCGACATCCGGATAATCTATCGGATCGTGTACTAACACATTGGCACCGACGAACATTCTTATCGAGCTTTTATAGTTCGCAGCGTCGATGTTCAGGGCGACCGATAAACCAATATCACGGCCAGCTCCCGGTGCACGCTGCAACATCAACGGTTCGAGCTTTCTGTGTTCAGGATTTGCCAAGATTGCGTCGTTGATAGAACGTCCAAATTTGGAAACTGATATGGGAAATTAATCAACGTCCGTACATTTCTGTACGTAGCACCAATCTAGTGCAGATTTCATTTCAACGATCTTGCATATTAGATAGATGCTCCTTAATAGGTTTTCGAAGTATAATACTTGCTACTGTGACTTAAATATTTGCACGAAACTGCGAAGTAATTACTGAAGGGATATCTTTCCAGAATTGCTCTTACCAAAATTTCTGCGACACCCGGTAAAAACTCCGAAGTTCCTTCCGGCTCGGCAACTTCTTCGGATGTAGTGATGTTCTCCAGCCATGATGCGTCGTTTCTGATAAAGATGAGAATGTTAGGCGGAAAATTGACTAATTATTACACGAGATCTTGTTAAAGTTGTAGAATTGAAAAATCAGTTCGAATTTTCGAAAATGTTAGTTTAGAATTAGGATTTGAATGATCCGCGACGATTGCAGAAAACAAGAGTTATAGTTAAAACTTGATTCTGTTTTTTAGAAATGTTTATAAGTTAATTATAGTCGTAAGTGCATCAAAAGTCTATCGGTTACTTGTAAACTTTCGAAAGGTCGTAGTGATAATTGAAGCCGCAGCAGAAGCCCTCGTTCGCTTTCACGATTTTGAAGATTTTGTTGCAATTATAGATCTGACCGAGCCAAGCGCATCTGACCAACATTGCTCCGCAAGGTTGCATCAACTGCAATTGAAACATAGCACCGCTATAAACTATAAGTACAACGTCCAATACATTTAATTAAAAATGATTCAGAATACGTTCGACTTTCTTAAAAGCGTATAATGAATTTGTCGAAGGCAGCAAATTATTTTCTGCTGCATCTAATAGAACGTTCCGTAAACGATCTATTGTGCTAACGAAGAGCATTGTTCACCTCAAACATCAGTTTTTCGACCGAGTAATCAAGGGTGTCCAGGGCCCACATCGCGGTTGTGTTATCGATCTCGATCTTGTCTGGTCGTATAAGTTTCATCAAGGAAGAAAACAATCTATTGGTCATGCTGATATCGAATCCATTCATCAGCCTGTTGGAACAAATTGAATTCAGAAACAAATTCGAAGAAGTAAGCGATTGAGAATCTTGGTGAAACAAACTGTTCTCTTCGTCTCTGAATAAAATAACAGAGAAAAATACCTCTGTGATTGTGAATACATTCGCAAAGATTTAAATGGTCGTCTTTCCATTAAATCGACAAAGGACAAGAATACTGCGATGATTGTAAATAGTTATAAAACGGTTTAAATTGTAAAGTATGCTGTGTTTAGGAAAAGAAATTTTCGTTTCCTTGCTGCTCGATTTAATAATTCAAGTTTTAATTATAAAGCCGCTGTGAGAGTGAACGCGTTGTAAAGGAAACTTTACTCGATAAAGAATCGAGGCGAAATATTTTTGACATACTATGTATCGGTTCAAACTCTTTTAATTACTGCAAGTAGGTCGGGTGCTCCTTCGCGATTATTGCTACAGAAAGTACAAATACAAGCGATCGAAATAGAAACTGCGTGATTTGAGATCATAGTTTTTTAATTGGAATTACTATTTTAGACAACGATTTCAAGCGAAATATCAACTTACAATTTTCTCGCGATTATATTAGCGTGTCTCCTATAAACCTTATTGTTATTACATATCGTAATCCCCGGAAACTGCAGATCCTTGATCGGGTTCGACGTGTCGATGATCGTCACCGTAGGATTGTCCGAATAATGGTCCCACAGCCGCATCATCAGCAACACACAGAACCCGATCGCTGCCATGCAAATCTGTACAAAATTTTCTATGAAAAGACTGCTTCACAGAAGACTGCGAAGTACGTTCGACCCACCGCAAACCATATTGTTCTCTCGAATTTGGTTCTACTGGCGACGATGTAACGAAATCCGTGCAGCCCGGTATTCTTCAAATAAACGTGGAACGATTTCGTTAAAGTTTGCAGCAAGCTTGACCGGCCTACAAAAAAAAAAGGAACAAATTCTGTCGGTCCTCTTTATACTGTCATTTCTTTCGGCATAAATCTCCCTTTCCAAAGTTTCTTTTGTTGCGTCAACTATCTCTGTTACTAAAATTTCCAAACATAGTGCGATTCTTAAGAAGTGAAAACGGTGTAAAGGAAGTAAATAATGAATAGAAAATAGAAATTTCCAGAAGTCCCTAAGATCTTTCCTGCGTTCACGTTATAAAACCATGCGCCACGTGATCGAAATGTTCTCGATAAAACGTTTCAAATTGCAATTTGACGTCGCTTGTTACCGTGTGAAAACACAGCCCTAGAAGACATCCTACCCCCATTGTTCGCTCGACGCTGCGAATTCCATTACAGCGCCTTATAAACAATGAAATACGAACAAAATACTTGACTAAGCATCTCAAATCGTCATCGTACAAGCTTTTTATCACTGAGAGATTGCTTCGATCATGTATGTAGATAGCATACGGGAATAATAGGATTTTTACTAATTAATAAGAATTAATTGCACTTATTTCATTTGCACAATAAGGAATCATTAATCTAATTTTGACAAGGTGTACGGTGATGGTAATTATAATAACGCTCTACAGCCCCGAAGAGCTGTACTTGTGCATAATAACGTTGCGGACAAAATAAAACCAAGAAAAAAATGATCTAAAAGTATAAATAGCTATGTACAACGAAATAGTAACTAAATAAATTATCAAAAAAAAACGATAACGTTAGACCTGCTATAACTTGGAAAGGAATTGATATTAATTGTTAAATTTTGCAACGTCCTCGGAAGAGTGAACATCTTCCAATTGCAAGAGGGATCTCACTTCACGATGATATTGCCCATAATCAGTGTAATGGACAAGCTAACAGCGAATCCTCTTAGATTACTATAGCCAATCACTCACCGAGTAATTTCCTTCCAAGTTTCTTAGACGAGTTATAACCGTATCGCGGTAGGGTTTGCATTCTGCATCGGCAGGCTCGACTATGACAGTGACCAAATACGAACGTCGCGGTCGGCCAAACTGGCCGTCACGAGACCCATCAAACGAATGAACGAATCAGTCGTGAATGATACCAAGCAACACCCTCGCCTCCAAGTAATTCCATTTTCTATTTCGCGGCGCAAATTCTAGGAAATACCATTATTAGGCTAATCCATAACCACTCAGGCAAATGATACGGAGGAGGTAAGAGGCCAGACAAAATAATAGATCGTTGACTATCGATCGATAATCTTTCATGGTCATCGAATTGGTTTGCCGCGGGTCATAAAAGTCGGAAACGGGCTTGCGAGTGGACATGATGCGGTGGCGGTTGTTGATTATTATGCGCGATTTATTTTTTTAGTGAAAATTTCAAATTTACGGGTGAAAAATATCATTTGGAACGTAGCGATACGTATCGCAATTGTTCAATGCACACAGGAGGGCATTTTTTACAGATAGCGGAAAAAAATCCGAAAACAAAATTCCGAATAACTTTCGAATACGTAAAAGGTCTTTTGAAAAATCGGGATGGTTGACGGAACTTTGAACGTGCTATGTAATGGTATAAATTCGATAATATGATTCCGTATGCCGTGTATAATTCAGCGTTAATTTTGAATTTCAAATTATGGTATTTCAGAGAACGGTTCTTCGAGTTATCGATGTTGATGAAGAGAGGTCGCACTTATCAGGCATTTACCATTTCCGTGTCGCAGTCATCGTTACCGATATTTCACAAATTTAAGCTTCTTAGTGAGAATCGAGTATTACGTATAATTCATTCGTATAAAAGTATGTTTTATGCTTTCTATAAGCTACAGACTCATAGCGCGTATATTCAAGGAGGACTCTCAATATATTCAAATTCATATATCATATTCAAAGGACTCTCTTAAATCTGGAGTAAGGAGTTTTAAAAAACTTCAAAATGTATATGTAACAAAGGTGATCTACCGAAATAAATTTTCGAAATATTTGAGCTTCAAAAGTTTTTCTGTATCTCGAGTTCGATTATTAGATTATAAAACAGAAGAGAGAGAGCACTAGAAGTAATAATGAGGAAGAGGAATTCTTATAATTATTAAACAGCTAGAAATAGTAAATGTATCAATAGAATATTTTCGATGTAATTAAACAATGTACAATTCGTTATGTACTTACTAGCTCGTCACTAGCTCGAATGTTAGTAAATTTTTGGGGCACTGTTTTGACTGCCATTTGAACTAGCTGCAAACTTGGACGAACTAAAATTCAATATGGCGGTTTAGAAGCGGTAATTCTAATTCTGGTAAACCTATGTTTTCATCTCATTTTGTCGGTAACTGTGTCCTCTACCGTTATCTCCTCGCTAGGGAGTCTAGCCGCTTAAACAAGTATGTATTAAGTACATTTTTTTCGAAAATAGTTATGTACACCATAACGAGTCTTGTGACTCATTTTTATAGTTACCGATTGTCGCAACTATAAAAACGAGTCGAAAACTCGAATAATCGTATCTCCTCTTCCCAAATTGTCCATTTTTGTTTCCAAACTGAGGATAAATTAGGGAGAATTTACTGTACTTAGTATCAAATCACTATTTTCCCAAAAATAGGAAATCCTTGGAGAGTTTGTTGTCCAGAAGACAAATCAAGTTAGAGTATATTAAGTTCATTCTTTCAAAATTACGTTATGTACACCATTATGTTGTTGTTTTTTTAGTCCCAATGAATTTCCATTGGTAATCCATTGAAATCGTTCAAACCCATTTGTGAGGTCTCCTCTCCGCCACTTGGAGTAGATTCCGAACAGAATCTGTAACCCTATCGGATACACTAGACAGCAATGGATACACTGGCCTTGAGTGGAAATTTCAAAAACGGTCAGTATTAGATCGTCATGTGATGATGCTTAGGTCAGCTTTTTGACCACGATGCATCCTCATTACTTCAGTGCAAAGCTCGCAGCTCCCTGACCGCTTTACGACTTTCTTCTAGGGGAGTAGGAGTGGGAGAATTACCTATCACAAATGGGATTGGATAATGCCAATGGATTTCCATTGGCAATCCGCTGATATCGTCCAATCCCATTTGTGAGATTTCCTCTCCGCCTCTTGGAGCAGAATCCCTAACACCATTGGACACCCTGGCCTTGAGTGGAAATTTCACGAACGATCAGGATGCTGGGAGGACTGAGTGGAAATTTCACGAACGGTTAGGATGTTGGGAGGTCTGATTACGACCTCTGAGGAGCCCCACGCGCCATCAATTTCCTGGCAATGGTAACAGCGTTTCCCAATTAAGAAATAGATAGCAGCACTAATATGGCCTACCAAGATGGCGAATAGTCCAGATTCTCCTTATGTCTTTAGTATCCCCTTGCCCATAAGCCAAGTGTAGACACTGTCCTTATCAGTCCTTATGGTCCGTGATCGTACATCACCTTTCTATCGATCCTGGTGTACACGTCACACAATGGACGCTGCTGTGGTTTACGCTTCCGTGAAGAAAGGATCATTTACTGTGGTTTTATGAAGAGACGCGGAATCCCTTGTGCGAATCTTCAACAATCTTCAATGTATTTCGTGCGGGAGAAGTCGTAGGAATTGTTGTTGAACGCATGCGATAATTATTGAGCATTCTTGCGTGAGGTGCGAAGTGTGTTAAAGTGAAGAACGAGTGTGCACGTAAGTGTGTACGAGCTGCCTAAAAGGGCTTCTAACGTCCAAGGACTTATGTTTGTAAACCATGAACTATTTTCCATAAAATCAATGGCGAGAACGATGGTCTCGAGAGTATGTTTTGTGGTGCCGATGTTGCTAGTAAAATTACTATTCGCAACGGACTTTTCCTAGGCATAGCCTCCGCGTTTTCAAAGACTGCAATAAATACAGACGTCAAACGGGCACGATGTGTTGTTTTGTCTGACGTACACAGAAAAAAAAAACATCGACGACTCCTCGCCTTCATACGTTAATAGGCTACAAAAAAACACACATTTTAGCAAGATTAAACTGTCTGTTTAATAATAAACTTTTACGTCTAAAGTTTGAAAACGACACTTATTGTGTTTCATAGAGCAACAGGAATTGTGTACTCCGTTTGATTGAAAAAAGAGGAATCTCTACAGTTCAAAGCATACTATTTAATTTTCGCTTATACAAGGGACACTTATATTCGTGAATTTAACAAAAAAAAGAGAGAGAGAAACAAAGTTGTTTTCCTTTGTTAAACATTGTTTTGGGTGAAACAGAAACTTTTACGATATTAGGCATAATTCATATCTACCAAAAGCAAGATGTACTTGCTGACATTGTAGATATATGTATATGTATATTGGAAACTTTTATAAGACTTATAAACATTTTAATTAAACAGCATAAGGACAATCCTAAAGTCAAAGTTTTCGGCGAATGGACTTTTTAAATCTTTTACCACAGTGACTTTAAATCGGATTTTATGTGCAATCTTCTGAACTTTTCTCCTTATATGCTAAAAATGTTACCGCATTGCTTTCTACCATATAATTGTCATATGACATACCAGATCTGTTCGAATATGATATTGTTCTCGGACAAGTATCACAGCCCACTGGATATCCATCTAGTAAGTCCTTTTTTATATTTGCGTTTCAGAAAAGGTTTAAAGGCGCCAGAACTGCATTGGCTTTACGCAAGAGAGCCCGAAAAATCCAGAAGTACAAAGCCTGGATGACGGGACAAGTGAAGAGATATTTTTGAGCATTAGTGAAAGTGAACATCAAATAAATAGTGCAACTATGGACAATAATACCGACGGAGACAACTTAAATCTGAGTTGTGGAGAAAATGACATAGTAGATGAATTAAAAATTGCTGCTGATGAGACATACGATACACGTAGTGAAGTTTCATCTAGCAGTTCAAATTCTGATTCTAGTCAGCCTAGTATAAGCTCAGTTTCAACAAAATCCTCACGTGGAGACAATAAACGTAATAGAAAAAACAGGGGAAAACGTGCTAGGTCAAGAGATTCTAAATCATCCAGTCCTGAAACAAAACGTGCAAGGTCCAAGGAGAATAAAGGAATTGCCAAGAGCTATGATTATGCTACAAAATTAAATTACTTATTTAGGGATGCAAGGTTGGCTGCTTTTATTACATATGTTTTCATTATGTTCTTTTAACTTGTCAGTTACTGTATTTGTGAATGTCTAGATAAGCACAATATTATAAATGCCAAGGACGTGTCTTAAAGTTCTTTTTATTAGATTTTTCATCATTAAATCAAACAATGCTGAGAATGTCACGTTATCAAAGGCTAAAGGAGTATGGAGTACATTGCCCCAAAATGAAGCCAATTTAAATCAAGCTTACAGGGAGTCCAGAAATGTCCTTTTAGTGTTTTCTGTAAAAGAATCAGGAAAATTTGCTGGCTTTGCACGGCTTAGTACAGAGTCTAGAAGAGATGGAGCACCCATTTCTTGGGTTTGTATATGTATATATATATATATACACATATAATTGTGTAGAGACAATCTTAGAAACTATTATTTGATGTTATATTGGATGAAATTTACATAAATTTTAGGTGTTACCTCCTGGATTATCAGCTAAAGCTTTAGGGGGTGTATTCAAAGTTGATTGGATATGTAGAAAGGAATTACCATTTACAGCGACCTTACACTTGTATAATCCATGGAATGATGGTAAACAGGTAAAAATTGGACGAGACGGACAAGAAATAGAGCCAAGAGTTGCGGAAGAATTATGCAGATTGTTTCCAGAAGATGAAGGTAATTTGAAACTCCTAATTTTCTGCAGCACAATTATTCTATTAGTGATTTATTCAGTAATTTATATTTTAGGCATTGAAATGACTCCAATTTTGAGAAAGTCGAAGGAAGCAGCGAAACATGTTACAAAATCATCTCGTTCGTATCGAGATAACAGACCTGTTAACAACAGTTCTAGATTTTTACGGTCAAGGGGTGGTAGGGGACGTAGGCTTTTCTTAACTTCACGATCTCGTTTAGCTTCTTTAGCCAGAGGATCTCACTTAGGTGGTAATGATCATAGAGGATCCAGGGATCATCATCATCATCGATATGCTTCCTGGTTTAATAGAGGAGATTCTCCTTACTCAAAGTATAATACTCAATTTTGAAGTAACTTCATCAACTCAAACTTTATACTCAAAGTTTAATGGTCGTCAACCTTACAGGGGATATGGTAGTCCTGGATTAGGTGTAGCTGCTGCAGCAGAAGCATATGTTGCAGATTACATGCGCACCATGCAGCACCAGTTACCTCCACTACCTCCTTACGCTGCACCTCATCCTTATGATTCTTTACCCCCACCACCGCCACCGCCCAGGTATTACGATGGTCTACCATTACCACCTGATTACAGTGCGGCTGCTTCTGCACTTGAAAAACGCAGCTACGAAAGAAGTGTAGATGAATTTTTATGGAGAACAGCAAGTCGACATAGTCGACACAGTGATCATCGATCCTCCCGGGATCATCATCATAGATATAGGGACCGTAGATAAGAAATTTTTTACATTATCCTCATCCATTTATTTCATTTCTCAATTCATGCACACTTTGTAAGGGCTTTCAAAAGAATCACGATACCTATGATTACATAATAGACAAGAACTCATTGAATCAGTCGAAAGTTTAATTAATGTAGTGATTTAAACAAGTGGTTTGAGATTTATTACTAGATATCAGAGATGAGCATTATTTAGATAACAAATTATTTAAATAACGATTTGAAAAGATACTTTATCTTTATTCGTTATTTGAACGTTCGAATAAAAAAAGTATTTTTATTCGACAAGTATCGAAAAGTATCTTATAAATTGGGAAAAGCTCCTCANTGATTTAAACAAGTGGTTTGAGATTTATTACTAGATATCAGAGATGAGCATTATTTAGATAACAAATTATTTAAATAACGATTTGAAAAGATACTTTATCTTTATTCGTTATTTGAACGTTCGAATAAAAAAAGTATTTTTATTCGACAAGTATCGAAAAGTATCTTATAAATTGGGAAAAGCTCCTTA